CACCGGGATCTGCTGGCACCCCCCGGGAACACCCGTCCCACCACCAGGGACCTCCTTGGTGACCCCATGGTGTCCCTACCCCACCCCCATGAGCCCAGGGATCCCCAGGGATCTCCCAGGGATCCAACAAGCACCAGCAGACGCTCATGGCGCGGGGGGCCCGGGGGTAGACACGCAGCGCCCGTGCCACGGGGGGCGGGGCCAGGTCCTTCAGCACCACCCCCTCGGGGTCCTCGTTCCCCCCGATCACCTGCGGCACCGGGATCTGCTGGCACCCCCCGGGAACACCCGTCCCACCACCAGGGACCTCCTTGGTGACCCCATGGTGTCCCTACCCCACCCCCATGAGCCCAGGGATCCCCAGGGATCTCCCAGGGATCCAACAAGCACCAGCAGATCCCATTGACCCCCAGGACCTCCCAAGGATCTCATTGACCCCTGAGATCCCACCAGGACCTCCCAAGGATCCCCAGGGATGTCCCAGGGATCCAACCACCACCCAGGATCCCATTGACTTCCAGGGATCCCATTGACCCCCCAGGACCTCCCAAAGATCCCATTGACCCCCCAGGACCTCCCAGGGATCCCATTGACTCCTGAGATCCCAGGGATCCCCAGGGATCTCCCAGGCATTCAACCACCACCCATGATCCCATTGACCCCCAGGACCTCCCAAGGATCTCATTGACCCCCAAGATCCCAGGGATCTCTCAGGGATCTTCAGGGATCTCCCAGGGATCCATCCACCATCCCGGATCGCATTGACCCCTGAGATCCCACTGCCCTCCCAGGGATCTCCCAGGGATCCATCCACCACCCGGGATCCCATTGACCCCCCAGGACTTCCCAAGGATCCCATTGTCCCCCGAGATCCTACCGCCCTCCCAGGGATCCCACCACCCCCCCAGGATGCCAGTGTCCTGAGGGATCCCTTGGGATCACCCACTGTCTCCTCCTGCATCCCAGTGCCCATCCCGAGATCCCAGGGATCAGCACCCCCATGTCCCCAAGGTCTCCAAGATGCCTCCAAGATCTCTGGTCACCTCAACATCCCAAGATCCCCAAGGTCTCCAAGATGTCCCCAGGGTCCCTGCTCACCTCGGTGCCCCAACATCCCCAAGATGCCCCCAAGATCCCTGGTCACCTCAGCACCCCAACACGCCCAAGGTCTCCAAGATGTCCCCAAGGTCCCCAGTGACCCCAACACCCACAAGGTCTCCAAGATGCCCCCAAGATCCCTGGTCACCTCAGCACCCCAACATGCCCAAGGTCTCCAACATGTCCCCAAAATCGCCCTGTAACCCCAACACCCCAACATGCCCAACATCCCCAAGATGTTCCCAAGGTCCCCAGTGACCTCAACACCCCAACATCCACAAGGTCCCCAAGATGTCCCTGAGGTCCTCGGTCACCTCGGTGCCCCACCGGTCGCGCCAGCGCAGCCAACGGTGCCGGTCGCGGCTGTAGCGCAGCCGGTAGGTGCGGGCGAACTCCCGGCCGTGGCCACCGGCGTGACGTCCCTGCGTCCCCACCAGCGTCACCACGTGAAGCCGACCCAGGTCCACCTCCAGGAACTCCTCCTCCTCCGGGAAGACGGGACCCGCGGGACACCAGGCGCCGTCCCCATCGCTACGACCCAACCTGGGGACACGGGGATGACTTGGGGCCACCAGGGACGTGGGGACACCTTGGGGACACCTTGGGGACTCCAGGTGCTGTCCCCATCACTGTGGTCCGGGCTGGGGACATGGGGATGTCCTGGGGATGTGGGGGCACCTGGGGACACCCAGGAGACACGGGGACATCATGGGATGTGGGGACACTTGGAGGATGTGGGGACGTCATGGGGACACTCAAGGACATGGGGACTCCCAAGGGACATGGGGACCTCCTAGGGGCACCAGGGGCCACCCAGGGACATGGGGACACCTGGGGAACATGAGGACACCCAGGGGAACATGGGGACTCTTGAAGGACATGGGGACATCATGGGGTCACCCAGGGATGAGGAGACACCCAAGGGACATGGAGACACTTGGAGGACATGAGGACATCATGGGGACATAGGGACATCCAAGGGACACCCAGGGATACGGGGACACCGAAGGGACACGGGGGCACCCAAGGGACATGGGGACACTTGGAGGACATGGGGACATCATGGGGCACCCAAGGGACATGGAGACACCCAAGGGACATGGGGACACTTGGAGGACATGGGGACATCATGGGGCACCCAAGGGACATGGGGACACTTGGAGGACACAGGGACATCATGGGGCACCCAAGGGACACGGGGACACCCAAGGGACATGGGGACACTTGGGGACCCAAGGACACCCAGGAGGACAGAGGGACCCGGGGACACCCGAGGGCCCCTGGCTGGCACAGGACAGCACTGGGAGGGGACACTGGGCCATACTGGGCCATCCTGGGCCATCCTGGATCTCCTTGGCCACCACGTGCAGCGGTGGCTTTGGGGTGGGGATGCCGTGGGGACACCGGAGGG